CTGGTGGCATTCAGCATTCCTGTATAATCATTATACAGCAATGCTGAATACCACCAGCCCAGCTTGTCCCCCAATTCCCCCTAAATCAGTTATTACCCACAGACTACCCCAACCTTAGCTAACATATGCAGGCTGCAGCCCCTTTTCATCTGCGTCCTTGGCGACCAGTGGAGGGGAGGGGTCACAGGAGAGGGTGCCTGAGGAGACGTGTATCGGCTCCGCCTCCAACTGGCTATCAGTCATTGACAATTTAGAGGGCTGCCCTTGAGGAGCGAGCGGCTGCGCGATTAAAAAGCCACATCTTTAGCGCCAGAGAAGCAGCGGAGGAAGGGAGCCACTGCACCTGCGGCCGGGAGGTTCATTTAGCGGGGACGGGGTGACGGGTCCCCTGATGGTCAGTCCGCCCCTGGCTGGTGGCATTCAGCATTGCTGTATAATCATTATACAGCAATGCTGAATACCACCAGCCCAGCTTGTCCCCCAATTCCCCCTAAATCAGTTATTACCCACAGACTACCCCAACCTTAGCTAACATATGCAGGCTGCAGCCCCTTTTCATCTGCGTCCTTGGCGACCAGTGGAGGGGAGGGGTCACAGGAGAGGGTGCCTGAGGAGACGTGTATCGGCTCCGCCTCCAACTGGCTATCAGTCATTGACAATGACAGGCAGCTGCAGCTGCAAATGACCTGCTTCATTCAGAAGATCACGCCAGCATCCACGCTCCACATGCCTCCCCCTTGCTGCTGCCGGACCCGCCCGCATCCACACGCCGCACCTCCACCCCGCCTCACCCTTGCTGCCAGACCCGCCTGCATCCACATGCCGCACCTCCTCCCCGCCTTACGCACTTGTAGTCCTCTATAGCTGGTGGTATTCTGCATTGTGCTGTATAATGTATTATTGCTGGGATTTGTAGTCCCCTATACAGCGAAATGCAGAATACCACCAGCTATAGAGGACTACAAATCCCAGCAATAGTACATTATAGCTGGTGGAATTCTGCATTGCGCTGTATAATGTATTGCTGGGATTTGTAGTCCTCTATAGCCGGTGCCATTTTGCATTGATTGCTGTATAATTTTACACTTTCCATTTCACTATATTGCACACCACACTTTTTTATTTCCACTACTCCAAGCTTGCTCCCGTGATGGACTACAATCTCAGTACAAACTAGTAGTCCATCACTGGAGCCTTTTGTTTTGGAGCAGGGAGCCCACACTGACCACCTGAGAGCCTAATTAGGGAACCACCTCTGCTGCGCACACACACGCACCCATGAAACTCTCTGGACCCCAGGTGAGAGCCCACACAACCATCTTGAGACCCTGGAGACATCAGGTGGAGAACCCAGAGCAACAGAGTATGTAGCTTCAAATTATTCTGCATTGCGCTGTGTAATGTATTGCTGAGATTTGTAGTCCTCTATAGCTGATGCTGTTCTGCATTGCTGTATAATGGTATTGCTGGGAATTGTAGTTCTCTATAACTGTTGGTAGCCATTATTGCTGGGATTTATAGTCCTCTATAGCTAATGGTATTCTGCATTGTTGTGTAATGTATTGCTTGGAATTGTAGTTCTCTATAGCCAATGCCATTCTGCAATGCTGTACAATGTATTTCTGAGTTAGTGGCACAACTACCAGGGGCGCAGCAGTCATACACACGCACATCCCTCCACTACCAGTGTGCTTTGCATTTCCTAAACCGATCGATACATTCACACTACTGTTACATGGATGGCAAAAGTGGCAGACAGGGGCGGGGAGAAGGTGGGGGAAGAGGCAGAGCGGGAGGGGGGCCAAGATGCTGCACCATGGACCTCTGGGTTGTACTTGCCCCCTGGGCTAAAAGTTGCCAGTCAGCCCCTGGGTCCCTGTGTGTGTTGTAAAGTAGTCACCGCTCGAAGCTCGCTTCCGTGATGGACTACAAGGTCAAAACAAATTAGTAAAGTGAACATGAGATTGTAGTCCATCACGGGAGTGAGCTTGGAGCGGTGACTACATTACAACACACACAAGGACCATGGGGAACAGAAGTACAGGGATCTCAAGTCTCCCTGATGTTCAGGGAGTCTCCCTCTATTAGATAGCGGCTCCCTGATGACAGCCCCCCCATTGAATGTATTTTTATGATTTAACTCCTGAGTTTAGTGTCACTTTAAAGTAAAATAGCTCTTGCTGCCTATAGCAACCAGATCTTCTCAGCACTGAACAACAACAAAATATGAAAACCTGATTGGCATTGAGGTTATTATTTTTCAGTTTAGTGTTTGGCATAGAGACGATTGGCCCATCCCAGACCTTTGTTGCTGTGTATCTGTAAAAAAAGATGTCAAGGCAACTGGACTTGCTGTATTTTTCTTGAAGACGTTTCACTGGTCATCCAACCAGCTTTCTCAATTCGGAATGACTTGTACAAAAAATTATCTTGGAATAAGTATGGTGAATGTTGCTCCCAGATAATTTTTTGTACAAGTCGTTCTGAATTGAGAAAGCTGGTTGGATGACCAGTGAAACGTTTTCAAGAAAAATACAGCAAGTCCAGTTGCCTTGATTTATTTTTCACAGATATACCATAGACCTGGATGAATGAGAACCTTTACAGACTTTGTTGCTGTGGGCAAGCCAGGCTGCAACCAATCTGGCCATTCATAGTGTTGAATTTGACAGTTATGGGCTGTTTAGCTCACTTCTTAGGCTGGGTTCACAACTAGGCGTATCGAATATGCGCGTTTGTACCGCGATTCGCGGTAGAAAGACGCGCGACAAACACGCGTTTCCGAGGGCTACTTGGCTGTATTCCAATGGAAACGCGTGACAAAAACGCCCCAAAGAAGCTCCTGTACTTCTTTGGGCGTAGGGCGTTTTGTAGCGCGTTCATAAGGCCTGTAATACGCCCAGGTGTGAACCATACCCATAGGAAATAATGGGATTTCGGTGTTTGAGCGTTTTGCAGAGCGTTCGAACGCGCTACAAAACGCCCAGGTGTGAACCAGGCCTAAGAAGATACAAGGCATACCTCCCAATTTTCCAAGACGAGAAAGCGGGTCACCTTTTTGGCACAAAGTATGTAAGCAAAAGACCCACCCCTTGCCACACCACCAGTTATGTAGACTTCGAAGAATAAAAAAGCAATAATACTGTATATGATATTAGTTTAGAGGTTGGATGAAAGGTTTTAGTGCACTAAAACACTTTTGGTAATAACTATGAATTATTTTATAGAGGCCAAAACATCAAACCAAAAAGAGGGACAATTAAAGAGGAAAGAGGGACGGAGAGATTTGGTTCCAAAAGAAGGACAGTTCCTCCAAATGAGGGACAGTTAAGAGCAATGACAAGGTATTTGGTAACGTGTCATGAAAGGGTTGTAAGAGATCCCAGATATGGCTGAAAGAGTCTCAGCTACACAGGAAAATACAAACTTTAGGTCCGCCTTGCTACAAAATTAACTCATGTGTGGACTTGGTGTTAGTTGTCCAGTAATATATTTGGAATGATGGTCTTCGATGGAAGTGACTATGTCATATCTGGGCATCATGGTGGCCTAGTGGTTAGCACCCTTGCCTTGCTGCATCAGGGTAATGAGTTTAGATGTGCCATCTGCATAAAGCTTGCCTCCTAAGATCCACAAGGGCCCTGGAAGGTTACCTGTTGCCTCCTCAAGTTGACCCTAGAGTGCTTTTTGTGTGCAGGTATGGTTGGGACATTAGACTGTAAGCTCCTGTGGAAACAGGAACTGATGATGAAATGTTTCCATGTACTCTATTGTGTAATATTCTGGGCGGTATTTAAAAACAGGAAATACATAAACACACAATTTCCTCCTCGAAAGGATTGTTCCTGTTCATGTCCCTCAGAAGGGTTGTGACTTTTCTTTATTGCATGCAAAATAAACATTGTTGCACCTCAACCCTCAACTTCAACCTTCTTGTTCTTCCAGGCTTTAAGGAAGGATAGAAGAGTCAAATGCCTAGATCAGATAACAGGTAACCACATACACACACCAATACGGTCTTCATGCAACCAATATCAGATATTTAACAAATTCAAAAGTCGGAGTGAGGCCTACACACCACAGGCCTCTAATTACCTTCCTTGGCTGACAGTGAGGCCATCTCTGGCCATTTTCCTTGCCTAGGCCGACTCAAATTGTCTGTCTACAGTTCCTTGCTAGACACAAGCTAATGGAACCAGTGCAAAGGCACAGCCTATAAATGGCATCACCTCCCCCTCCCCCACCAGCAAAGGAAGCACCCTGCAGTCTCCTGTTCATGACAGCTGCTCACAATCCTAAACCCCATTAATACCCAAGGGATATGTGAAAGACTCAATCATACCTCTTCTCCTTTTTTCCCCGGCAGGGCGAAGGCCACAATTGCTGAATGTTAATGTGCTGTCAGTTAGGGAATGTATCAAAGCAACAGCCACGGGGTTTCCGGTGAGCAGTGAGCAATACTGCCTCCCCTCCCCCACTGCATACTGCAGCTTTTTTTTTTTTCACTCCTCCCCCACACACAGTGAGCTGTAGCCACACTGCCTGGAGCTTGGATACAGTGTCTATGCTGATCATGGGCACTTGGAGTCTTTCCTTATCACACTCTTTGCATTCCATATGGATGTGGGAAAGAAAACCACACTCCCTGACCTTGCTGGTGGTGGAGAAGGCTGTCAGGAGTCAGCTGGGGGAGCTGCAGATTGCAAAACATTTGCTGGTGTAAGGGGAAAAAATATATATGCAAGCTGCAACTGTAACCCCTTCCCCTACACAAATGCAAGGATAATTTAATGTGGTTAGAATAATTATCTTACTGAACAAAAAGAATGGGTGATGTGATGGGTTGTTATAAACTGATGAGAGGATTGGTTTATCTAGATGATCACCTGGTCAGGTGTTTCCATTGAAGGGTACAGTTAATGCTACATCATACATTGTAGACAATGGTGCATTTCCAACCTTGTGGTAACAGTTTGGTGAAGGCCCTCTTCTATTCCAGCATGACCGTGCCCCTTTGTAGAAAGCCAAATCCATAAGGATGTGGTTTGATGAGTTTGTTGTGAAGGAACTTGAGTGGCCTTCACAGAGCCCTGACCTCAACCCTAACACCTTTCGGAACAGCGACTATGAGCCAGGCCGTCCCATCCAACATCAGTACCTGACCTCAACCCTACTAAACACCTTTGGAATTAATTGGAATACCATATGTGAGCAGGGCTGGATTTCCCACAAGGCCAACCATGGCCCGGCCTTGGAGCAGAAGGGAGTAGAGGGGCAGCAGGGGTGTGGAATTCCTATCTCCTGATGCCCGAAACATGCAGTTCGGGGTGCCGGGCGGGTAGTTGTTTTCTACATTTAGCCCTGCTTTGGGCAAGCAGAGCTAAATGTACAGCGGGGAAGCCGCCGTTTGTTTTGTACAAGTGCCCCCGGCGATGTCGCCGAGATCACTTGTATGCAGCCTGCAGGTCTGCTATTCTCCATGGGGGGGGTTGGCAGGTAGGGGGGCGCATTGAGGAACCTGTCCTTGGGGCAGCAGAGAGAGTAAATCCGGCCCTGTATGTGAGCCGGATTTTCTCATCCAACATCAGTGCCTGACCTCACAGATGCTTTTTTGGCTGAATGGGAACAAATTTGCATAGACAACCTCCACAGTGGAGGCAAAATAATGCTTATGTAGGTGTGATGGTCAAGTGTCCACCAACCTTTTTTTACATATTTGTTTGAAGTTGCCTTTTTCAGTTTATCATAAATGTTTTGGCTACACATAAACTTTAAAACCTGAGTGTCTAACCCAAGGGTCTAAATCAGCTAAACACATTTTTTAGCTGCTTTAAAACAAACGGTGGACAATTTCTTACGCTTTGTCTTATTTAGAAAGGAGCTACAGCCTGAGTAGAAAGACATGTCCCCTACCAGTATGCTACTGGGAAGGACCTGTCTTCTTAGTGTGGAAGAAGTGGTCTCTCTGCAGTGGTCTGACATGCCCCCTACTTAATCAAACCTATAGCTTTGCATTCATCAAATCCTATGATCTCTACCGATTGGATAGATCTAGCTATGACTAAGCAGGGGGTGTGCCAGACCTCTGCAGAGAGACTATTCATCTGACACCTTATATCTCTAAGCAATGATTACCCAGCAAGGGTTTTCCGCCTCCCCTACTCTATCTAAAATAAAAAAAATGTGGGTTTTATGTATAATTTAAGAGAGAACAACTGAAAACTAAAAATATGAAGCATGTCTATGTACATAATGTAAACTCTAAATCAGGGGTCTCAAACCTCCGGCCCTCCAGCTGTGGTGGAACTACAAATCCAGAACTACAAAAGACATGACTCCCGAAGAGAGATGCATCATGGGATTTGTAGTTTCACCACAGCTGGAGGGCCGGAAGGTTTGAGACCCCTGCTCTAAATCTATTTGATACTATGTTTGGCATCACAACACACTGAATATGGTTTTCTTATGAAAGTCATATTTTGTGACTCCATTGCTCATCTTTATCTGGACATCCTGACAGTAGTAGAACTTCCTGTCCAGTAGTAGAACTTCCTGTTGCAGGCTGAGAACTCTAAGCCACTGCCTTCTCCATTAGCAAGAACATTGTCGGCCTGCAGTGCACACTCCTTCGGTTTTCTATTGGGCATGCTGTCTGTAGGAGGCGTGCACAGACATGATAGGCAGGCAGCCCATCGAACAACTAATGGAGTATGCAAGGCAGGCTGACTAAGCTACTGCTGATGGAAAGGCAAGGCTTAGCATTCTCAGCTAGATAAAACAAGTACTATCCAGTTTGTGACTGTAGACAAGTAGGGATGAGTAATAGGTATTTTTAAAGAAGTCACATGTTTCAACGCCACTTCAATTTTGTTAATTTGTAACATTCTGAATGGATCTAAAAGGATTTGTGGCCATTTCACTGCTTTTGTTTATTTGAAAAGGTTGGTACCGGACTGGTTGATAAATTCGTTATTTCTCTTGGGGTTGTAACACCCACATAAACATTCAAACAAGGAGAATTTCTGACTCACTACGTGTTATCTTGATTAAATATTTCCATACGGTTTTGTGTGATCTGAGAAGAACCGTGACGTTGAAGAACACTGGAAATTATGATTTTATGAATCATACGATTTTCTGCAGGACAAAGGTTGGTCACCACTAAGAGATCTATGTATAAAACGTTCACGGAGCGAACGTCTCTGCGAATGAGATTCACAGCGCGTTATGGCCATTAGATGGAGCTGTGGTGCCATTTTGTTTTGTAGATTGTATCCAACTGGCCAGATTTACTTTCATTTCCTGATCAAGAGGCAGATACTGCAATTAAGGGGGTTATTCACAAAAGGGTCAAGAGTGTGGAGAAGGCAATAGAAGTGAACAATCTAGGCCAAAATAGCCGATTTGGAAAAATTCTCCAATTCAGCTCACTTTCCAGTTCAGCTATGTTGTCCTAGATTGTTCACCTCTTCTGCCTTCTCCAAACCCTTCACCCTTCTGTGAATACCCCCTTAAATCTTTCCGAAATGAGGGGTCATACCCTATCAACTTTCAATGGACTAGGTGCTCCCATTGAAAGATTTCCCCTCAGCTCTTGTTGCGGTGTCAGCTGTAACATTTTCAATATGCTATCTCTTTTTGTCCCACTTATAATGGCCACCAGTGCAAATAGAGAAGGTAACTCCACAAAAGAGACAAAGACGGCAATAAAAACCTAACCTCTCACCAATCTATTCAAAACTATCAATAAAAGGCTTTGGCTTTAGATCAGGGGTTTGAAACCCCTGCTTTAGATGCACATTAAAACCTAAGGTTTGGCAATCCAACAATTCAATGTAAAGCTTTGGACAACATCAATCTCCAGCCTTCTATTTTTAAGACCCAGTAATTATACTTGCCTGTCCAGCAGCCTTTGTGTTGAAGCGTCACCCTCTTGAAGAGCTGGGGATGCAGATGCTGTCTAGAATTTCCGGGTCTGACGAAATGCATGTCTCTGGTGGCTGCTCTGGTTCCTCCCACTGAACTTTACGTCAGTACAAGACACAGTAGTGCCATAGGGGGGTCGGCTGGAGGAACCACAGCAGCCACCAGGGACATGCTATTTGACACACCTGGATAGTATCAGTGCCTGGTGCTCTTCAAGAGAGCAAAGTTCCAACACAAGGGCCACCAGCCAGATAATTATAAAGCTTCATCTTTCAGAGTAAATTATTGTTTACACCCCCTGACAGAGGGCTTTGAGTTAAATAGCTCTTGTTGTCCGTAACAGTCAGATTCTCTCACTCAGCGCTGAACAAAAAAAAAAAAAAGTTTATTTGAAAAGGTTGGTACCGGACTGGTTGATAAATTCGTTATTTCTCTTGGGGTTGTAACACCCACATAAACATTCAAACAAGGAGAATTTCTGACTCACTACGTGTTATCTTGATTAAATATTTCCATACGGTTTTGTGTGATCTGAGAAGAACCGTGACGTTGAAGAACACTGGAAATTATGATTTTATGAATCATACGATTTTCTGCAGGACAAAGGTTGGTCACCACTAAGAGATCTATGTATAAAACGTTCACGGAGCGAACGTCTCTGCGAATGAGATTCACAGCGCGTTATGGCCATTAGATGGAGCTGTGGTGCCATTTTGTTTTGTAGATTGTATCCAACTGGCCAGATTTACTTTCATTTCCTGATCAAGAGGCAGATACTGCAATTAAGGGGGTTATTCACAAAAGGGTCAAGAGTGTGGAGAAGGCAATAGAAGTGAACAATCTAGGCCAAAATAGCCGATTTGGAAAAATTCTCCAATTCAGCTCACTTTCCAGTTCAGCTATGTTGTCCTAGATTGTTCACCTCTTCTGCCTTCTCCAAACCCTTCACCCTTCTGTGAATACCCCCTTAAATCTTTCCGAAATGAGGGGTCATACCCTATCAACTTTCAATGGACTAGGTGCTCCCATTGAAAGATTTCCCCTCAGCTCTTGTTGCGGTGTCAGCTGTAACATTTTCAATATGCTATCTCTTTTTGTCCCACTTATAATGGCCACCAGTGCAAATAGAGAAGGTAACTCCACAAAAGAGACAAAGACGGCAATAAAAACCTAACCTCTCACCAATCTATTCAAAACTATCAATAAAAGGCTTTGGCTTTAGATCAGGGGTTTGAAACCCCTGCTTTAGATGCACATTAAAACCTAAGGTTTGGCAATCCAACAATTCAATGTAAAGCTTTGGACAACATCAATCTCCAGCCTTCTATTTTTAAGACCCAGTAATTATACTTGCCTGTCCAGCAGCCTTTGTGTTGAAGCGTCACCCTCTTGAAGAGCTGGGGATGCAGATGCTGTCTAGAATTTCCGGGTCTGACGAAATGCATGTCTCTGGTGGCTGCTCTGGTTCCTCCCACTGAACTTTACGTCAGTACAAGACACAG